GGCCCTCTGTTCCCCTCAGAAGGGAGTCACCTACGACAATTACCCATCTTTTTTTCTTGCCGATGGCCGTCGTAATGCGCGGGGCTGACTGCTTCCCCCCAGTCAACCCTTTGGATGGATCCCTGTCTGTATCTTCATCCTCCTGGCCCTCAGGTTCCAGAGCCTCATACCTGTTGTGTAAGGGCACCTGGAGGGGTGAGGTGGGCTGGGAGAGGATTCGCCTGCTGCGCCGAGCTGGGATCTGCGTCCATCCTTCTCCTTCTCTTGGGTCCCCTCCCTCTGCCTGACTGTACAAGGGCAGGGGAACCTCTCCCTCACTTGATGCTTCCGTCTGGCATGGTCGTCTCAGGGATGGTAGGGAGCGGCTCCACCAGTCTGTCTCCCTCTCGCACTCCCTGATACTCCTCAGTCTTGCCACTTCTTCTTTCAGCTCTGCCACCATGCTGAGCAGGTCCTCCACCTGCTCGCACCTCACGCAGGTGTTGTCTCGGCAGTACCCTGTCACCAGAGCAAGGCCCTGGCACTCCCTGCAGCCAGAGACCTGGGTGGCTGCATGTTTGAGTGGGAGCTCCGTCTGCGTCGCCACATCCCTTCTGGCGATGGCTCTTGTCCTAGTGGAAACCATGGCTAGGCCTCTTCTGGGAGGGCGTAGACCACATTTCTTAATGTTACAAGACTTTGCATGTCACCATTAACACAAGTACTCGTATGAAGGCTTGCTGTGGCTTCATGGCTAAAATATGACATCTGTCCTGAGTACGTCTCAGAAATGCAGGGCTGAAACAGGGTATTTCCTGCAAATGCAGCTGTGCGTCGCGTTTGGAAGCTGGGATCCCAAGGCAAGCCATTCTGGTGCAGAAGGAGCAAGGACTGGAAGGGGGGAAGAGAGATGGAAACAGGAAAAACCAAGGAGGACTTGGCCTGAGCGGATGAGGAGACAGGACAAAAAGTTGAGTAGGGGGTGGCGGAGAGGTGACACGAGAATTGCGGAAGCAGAGCAAGTGCCACAGTGGGAAATAAGAAACATCTTTCCTCAAGCAATGAAATGGAAGCCAGGAGTGGTTGGGTGAGGCAAGGAGGAGAAGCTGAGGGGGAGGGAGGAAGGCCTGAAGGCAGGTCAGGCAGGAGCCAGCGTGCAGAGGGCCCGGCTTGCGGGAGGGAGAGGGAAGGATCTTCGCTGCTTTCCAGAGCCTGGAGGTTCTCAGACCTCGCTATACTTGTCAGTACATATAATTACTTGTTTCCTCAAGCGACAGCGGCCTGGGCAAATGCTAAGTTTCTGTGCTTGCAGAAGAATTATGTAGGTGTCAGTATGATACCATAGTAGAGATTTTAGTTTTCAGTTACTTATTCCATTATTGTTTTTAAAATGTTGCAAGAAAAGCAAAAAAGAGACAAAAATCCCAAATTTACAAAAAAAAAAAAAAAGATATTTGCAAAATCAAGCACCTAAATGAGGAAATGCAGTAAAGGTTGTAAGTGGGATTTCACTTTTATGAAACAGAGTGATGGTTTCTTTGGCAGATCTAAGGCAACATGCATTTCTCCAGCTAGTGGCAGTGCCATAATAATAGTAACAATGTCTTTCTCGATTATGCCAATGTACAAGAAATACAGAGGCAGGTGACAGGCATTAAAATGCCAGGAGTTTTCAGTCACTTTGTCATTTCCAGCAGTCCCGTTGTTTGTACCAGTGTGCACGAATGGGAGGAACTGTGGGAAACTTTGGAGGAAAACAGGCAGAGTTTTTACAAAAAGTTGGCTGCGGAGTAACTTCCTTTGCCAAGTCAGCCACGCCTGGCGCTGACACCCCTTTCCCAGAGGCTGTAGCAAAGGCAAGTCTCGACTGGAAAACTAGTGAATGACAGCATCCCAAGACAGGGCACGGAAATGCAGCAGCACTGTGAGGGAAGAGGAAATAAATCCCTCTGCTTAGAATATTTTTATTTCATGTTTTAACATGTTTTGAAGACCGGTGGATGTTTTAGAGTAAGAGCATTTTTGTGAAGGATTCCACAGCATGCCTCTTCCATTAACAGGTAAGAGCTCGTGATAGACATCTCAAGTATCTGTGTCATTATCCAGCACAACCAAGAAAGAGTACTCTCCAGCTACTACTGATTTTAACTGAAATAGCAAGCAGAAAGAAGCTATGTCTTTTGTGGTGACGGTGCAGGCGAAAACCCAGCTCCCACATTAAAAAAAAAACCAAACAAAAACCAACCAAAAATAGGAAAAGAGCCCTTTACAGATCCTAAAGGCTAGGTTAAAAAAACATGTGAAGAGATTGGGTAGGGAAAAAAAAAGCATGCATATAAAAACTATTTTCAGTTGCAGTTGGCCCTTCACAGCACTTCTGACAGTAATACTAGGTTCTTATTTTTGTGCTTTATAGCCCAAAGTATGTTCAGTAAGCATTCTATTTTAAAAATAAGCAGTCTGTTGAACTATGATTAGGACACCATTTATGTCTGCTTTGAAAATACTCCCCAGTACTTAACAGATGGCTGCAGTTTTGGTGCTTTCACTGGGGCCTGCAACAAAGCCTTGTGTTCTTTCTGAAAATACTGAAACACATGGAAAAGCTGTTTCTGGGTTCAAGTCAGAGGGAAATTATAATAATTCAACCTAGGGTCACTCAGCACTTAAAAGGCAGCTAAATGTTTTGCCACAACCCTCTTGACTTCTGCCATCGTTTCCAGCACGCATATGCACATGCATGCTGTAAATCCTGGTAAGAAGGATAAACTGCTCTGTATTTAGCTATAGGGTGGGCAAAACTCTCTCAGTGAGTAGTTTTTTGCCGAATTTATAGATAAGCATAAAGTCAATGAAAACTGCTAGCTGGTTTTGATAATGCATCCAAAATAGTTTCTCCTGAAAACAATTAGTTGTTTTGAAAGTTGGGCTGGTCTGCTTCAACAGCATGTTTTAAGATTTTGCTATTTTTAAAGATTAAAAACCACTGAGAAATGAAATGATTTTTCTCTCTTTTTTTTTTTTTTTTTCCAGCCAGCTAATAAAAATATCAGTTCTTCACATAGTTCTAATACTTTGTGACATTTTTAGGGTAGCATGATAAGTTTCTGAGAAATGACAGACAAACTAAAGGGTTTTCTTTGGAATTTTATCCTTCACTTTGACTTTTTGAGTTTGCAGATTTTTACTTGTATATGTGTCGCTACCCACTACTTAAAACAGTGGGTTTACAATGTGATGATGCCATCACAAGATGGGAAAGTTCCCTGCTTTTCTTTTTCCATGGAAATATGTAGAGACTTTACCAAAAGCCAAATAATGGTCGTTTCTGTTCTGTCCACTGCTACTCTGGATTAAGAAAAGGGTGCCGTTTTTAAGACCATGGTTTGCTAGGAAATCTTCAGAGATTGTGCGGGCCGCCATCCAAAAAGGTGATTTTGTTATAATGTGCAGATCTGGGAAAAGAGTTTGTGTAAGAAAACAAGTAAACAAATTTTGGGGAAGAAAGTAAAATGTGCTTTAGTATCCATTTTCCACTCTTCCCTTGCTGACTGTTGTTGCATTGACTTAATGATTAAAGTCACTTGGGTTGCCAGTGTTTGCTGGTTTCTCCGTACCTTGACGATCTGATTGATTCCATGTTGTTACTCTAACAACTGCACTGTTACACTGACAAGGAACACAAATTTATTGGCTGGATTTACTAATTCAGTTTTCCAGAAAAACATATATAATTCATTTTTTTTCTTTAGAATTAGAATAAGTTCCCACCGGGGCAAACATATAAATCTCTTGAGTGTTAAAAGTTACTGAATTGATTCATAATGTAATTGTAAAACTCAAACGCTCTTTTATCTTAGTGTTTTATTAAATTTCCTTGGAAATGTTTCTGCTAAAAAGTGTACAACAGGTCTGTCTTATCAGAAAGGTGGAATGATGTTTTCATAAAGAAATGTTGAAACCTTACATTGCCACTCTTACGTTATATTGTCATAAAGTTCAGACTTTTGAGCTGTTATGAAACATTAAATCAGCACAAAAAGCAATTTCTCAGTGTCATGGATTACTGCTGAGATGTGAATCAAATTCAGGAGGTTTCTAGCAAGTGAAGAAGTTGCTCTGTATGCCGTTTTCACAAAAGCATTCTGTTTTTCTGTTAATAGTTATCTTAGATGCAATTACTACTTTTTACATTTGCTTCTCCCCACTGTTGTTTACAATCTTATCTTAGCAGTTAAGTTTTAGATATGGTGCATGCTAGAGTGACATAGTTTGTACTAGGTTTCTTGTCTTTCAAGAACAGTTACGGGTTGTTATTTGCCACACGGCTGAAGCAGAAATTTATATTGACTTCACGGGAGAATTCTGCCTTTAAGGAAAACCCAAATGGAAACCGCTATCACAATACAACCTCACATTAAGCTAAAATTTAATGCTTTTCATTAAAATCTTTACAAAGGTCTCTACCACTATATACTAAAAGGAAAATAAAGCAAAATAAAGTGAATAAACCTCTGTGACTTTACAGAGACTTTGCGGTACAAAATGTCACTATTCACTCTTCCTCCAATTCAGTGCAATTCAGTTCTACGTTAGGACACTACTCACAGTGATAAAACTACAAAAGTATTCTGATATGGAAGACTGATAAAGCCATTCATAGATCCAAAGGAAGGAAGGGAGGAAGGAGGGAGGAGGACAGAGGGAAGAAGAAAGAGCGGGAAAGAGGAAGAAAGAAAGAAAGAAAGTAGGAAGGGACGGAGAGAGGGAAGAAAGATGTCTAGTGCAACGGGGCAAGTAAAAGCCATCCTTTGGAGATTTTTCATCCAAAGATCTCAACATTCTGTATAAAGGCCATCATTTTCATCATCCCCTGCCTTACAAAGGGTAAATGGAAGTACAGAGAGGTAAAAATAAGTTGCCAAAGCCAAACTAGCAGCAGAGATGAAAACAGAAGCCAGGCCTCTTGAGGCACAGTTCTCTCTCCATTAGGTCTCATTAGTCCAGGACTTACTAAAGAAATTGCTTATTTTATCATTACAGATAATGGGCACATTACTGCTGCCCAGTTAGAGAAGGTCTTGTTCTTCTAGGTCTGTAGATGACAAGGCTTCCCTCCACACGAGTGTGAGTGCGCACAGCCCCTTGGGTTTTTTGAGTCATGTGGAAGCTTCACTGCCGGTGGAAATGGGGACTGCAGTTGCTCCTGGAGGCTACTGGTATGGCTCCCAAATGAGGCTCAAGAGCATTAGGTGTTGTACTCAGCTCTGGGTCTTACCACTTCTCTGTTCCTCTGTTTCCCATCTCATTCTGTCTTTGAGACTGCAACTGATTGGGGCCTGTGGAAGCTGTGCTATTTCAATATGTGGAAGAATTAATGATGGTTCAAAAGTGAAAATGAAAAAAAAAAGTCAAGCTAATTTAAATTCTTAGTGCTTCCAAGCACATTGGATTTGGTGGGGTTTTTTTTTCTACATTTTATTTCTAAAAAGAGTTAACATCAGAACGTTGGGGTTTTTTTGTGGTTGTGATGGGAACTGAGAACCTGGCTGACTGCAAGCCTTGCAGTAAGCACTCATTACAGAAGTGGTGGTTGTTTAGTGTCCATATTTCATATTTAGGGTCAGGTACCACATCCATGGTGAA